CAGAGAGATAACAGCTGGTGTTCACCTCTTCTTTATGGAGGAGTAGCTTGTGCCCCTTGGGCCTCTTGGAAGCGCAGGATTAAGAGAGCCAATTGCAAGGCAGATTCAGAAGGCTGGAAATTTTGGAGATGTCTGGAGCTGAGGGGTTTTTTTTCAGACCATCTCTAACCCTTACCTTTAGAAGTCATTCATCTTCACTGCAGAATAGACAGCTGCTAGTGAGCTGAGCTAAGACAGACAAGCAGGAAGATTAAAATATAAAATAAACCCAGTCAGTACGTTTCATCTTGCGGGATAAGATGGGTTCAAAGCTTAGTCTGCAGAGGTGAATGGCTGGTTGAGTTGACCACCATCAAAATCTGAGTTCTGAATATGAAACTCTTGCTTCACTCAGTTTCTACAGCAATGGTTTCAAACCGATTGTGTGAGTAAAATTCCAATTGAGCAATTATTTGACTAACTGGGTTTTGATAGCTAATTACAATTACCAAAGTTAATATGTTACCATGGGATGGCTCTGCAATGTACAAAAGAAGAGAAATAGTGCTCCTCAGAGTTGCTGCCAGCCTCAAACTATAAATCAATCGGCAAGGCTGCAGAGTGACAAGAGAGACCCATTCTTTTGCAGAAGAGAAGGAGTGTCACTTCCATGAAAACCTACCTTTTGATCAGCTAAATCTCCAGAGGCAGAGTCCAATCTTAGCCTATAATGCAGTTGCCCAGGTCTGTCGTTTGTTTGTCTATTAAAAAAAGACATGAAAAACTAATCCCTCTAATATCCATATAAAGAGGGACTGTCATAAGGTGAGCTTTTCCATACACAGATCCTACAGTTCCATGCAAACATCTAGAGCCCTACAGATATAAAATTGGCATCTGTATTGTCAAAAATGAACTGCAGATATCCACATCCATGGATGCAGATACCGCAGATATAAAATGGATATCCACAAATTTGCAGGATTCTAGATACAAAATTTGTATCCACATCCTCACCTGTAGCCACAAAAATGAGCCAATGATATGCTTATCCACATCCATGGAATGGCCACTCACAGATATAAAGCAGATGTCTGCAGATTTGCAGGGCTCTACAAGCAGCTGCAGGAGAGAGTCTAATGTCTTTCAAAGTAGAAATAATTCTGTCTTCCTGATCTTTACTCTGTAGCTTCCTTTTAACCTTTTCATTTAATGTTTCTGAGGTTCATTCATGTGAACTGTTTGCTTCTTCCATGGCATTTGCTCCTTTTTCTAAACCTTTAATGCATTTTGTTAAATGAAGCACAGGTGAGAATTAGAAACATCTGCAGCCCAATTAACATGCCAGAGAAATTTTGACTTTGATTCTATGAGCTCTAGGGACAAGATGAATTATGCTTATTGCAGACAGCTGGCTTAAAGGCAAAAGACAGTCTTCTGTGTAGTTACGTAACTAAGAGCTTGATTATCGTAACACAGCCAATCGACTATGTAATTCTTTATTATCTATGCTATTTATTTAACTGGCTACATGTTGTTATCTTTTGGCATTGTATATATCCAGCTAGAACTGCAAGAGGTTTATCAGCACTTTATTCAGATTTTTGAGTGTTCAAAAGCAATTAAAATAATGGTAAAGTAAATACATGCAGTATGTTTGGTGGGGAGGGCACCAGAAATGTCAAGGAGAGACCTACAATGGAGTGAAATCTTTACTTACTCATTGGTTAGTTGCAGCCCAGGCAGGCACTTTTCCAATATGACTAAACTGAGTGAAGGGGACCACCCTCCTTGTGGCTGAATAGATAATTCACTGTGAATTATTGTACACCAAGCCAGGACGTGTTGTGGTTTTGAAACGTTCCTTAAAGGGGTGGAACATATGTACAGTTTAAGCTATAGTGCCTTACAATAGGATCCATATTGGAATCCAGGCTTCTAATATAAATTCACCGCATTAGCCGGTGTTGTTATTTAGGAGTATGTAGTCATTTGTGAAGCATTGTTGCTCTCTGCAAAACAGAAATGTAAAGGCAGCCTCTGCCTCATGGAGCTTTCAATCTAAGATTTGGGCACCTATAAGATACGATGCACAAGAGGCACAGAGGGGAGTGCAAGCTTAGAGCTGCTTGGTGTAAACTATTCATATCGGTGAGCACTTACTCGCATGAGTGGTCCCTTTGAGGTCAGAGTCACCTTCTGTTCACTAGCTGTTTCTTTCTATTGTTGCATTTTTTGTTGTTTACATTGAACACAAATTGGGGGCCAGAGTGCAGGTGGAGTTTGGGCCTGGCGTGAGTGTCCCCATGTATCTTCCATGCAGAGTCTAGCCCCAATTGTAGTTCCAGGACTCTTGTGCTGGGAGCTATCAAGCGGTACAGCTGTGGCTAATGGGGATATAAAAGGTTGTTTAAAAATATAACCGTGCAACCACTGAAAATCCTAGTGGTTACACGGTTACATGCGCTGTGGGCTCTGCAGTAGAAAGCTTATATATAAACTGCAGAACCCACAGCAAAGCCAGCTCCCCTGAATCAAGGCCTACATGGGTAAAGTTATTCTTCTGAGCCTGCAGTGAAGCTTCCCTGGGGAGCCAGTGTGTAACTTGTGGTAGGGGGGCCAGGCTGGGCTCGCCATGAAACAGGGGCTGCTCTGGCTGAAGCAGCCCCTGCCAGTGGTAGTCCCCATGGGGATGGAGAAACCCCCTGCCTGGAATGGGTGGGGAGCTGCTCCAGGTCCTACCAGTTCACTGGAACTGGTAAGCCTCGTCTGATAAGGGTGAGGCTTACCAGTTAATCTTTTACATCCCCACTGTCTGCATAACTCATGCTGGCCAGCAGAACTAAACAGACCCAGAGGTGCAACCGTTGTGGTCTCCTAAAATGAGTAGCACCAAGGTGTTCAGTTGGGCATAGCACGTCTGCTCCATGACATTGAATCGATGGTGAATCTTGCCTTTTGTATGTAGGAAAAGTGCTGCAACAGCTTCTGCAAGGTTGCAGGAGCTCCACGTCAGCACTGAATTCGTTACTATCATTGATTTGTAGGACTGTAGCTCCCAGAGGCCCCATCGTATTGGCACTCCATATATACAGAGACAGTAGGAGACAGTTTAGGCCCTGAAGAACTTATTAGTTAAACTGCTAAAGCAGTTAAAAGGCAGAAGAAAAGCAGCATCTCTCAGTCTCGTGAATTGAGCTCCATTATGTGAAATTCCCATTGAAGTCAGTGCAAGTTGTGCCCATGATGTAGTGGGCATGGTTGGCATACTGCTTATGCAGTATACAGACATGCTCTTAGAGGTGTTGAAACTGAGGTGCTGGCACTGCCCAGATTGAAGTGGTTTCCGTTATATATAGACTTTCAGTTTTGTTCAATGGCTTTCACCACCCCCTCATAAAAATTGTTCCAATGCTACTACACACTCCTCTCTTCTGTCTTTATTACTTCCAAATTAGGTGCATAAAATAACTGGCATGTATTGCATACCTCTCCCAGGAAAGCAGGCAAAATTGACTCAGGTTTGGGTTTAGCTGATACTTTGGAACCCACTCCTAATGAAGTCAATGACAACACACTCACTGACTTCAATGGGAGCCAGGATCAGGCCCAAGTCCTTTCAGGTTCAGTGGGTTTGGCAAAGTGTTAGTTGAGGATCAACTTGGGTGAACTTTCCCCCAGCTTCTGGAGGAAGATTTCCAGCCAATCCCTTCCTTCCCACAGATGCCAGGCAATAATTTATGCTTTAGTTTAGAATCCATAGGAAAACTGGATGCTTCACATTGTTTCAACTTAAAATAGGCCTGATCTAAAACCTCAGAACTGAACATCCCAGATTTTTCAGGGAAAATGAACCCAAATGTGAGTTCATGTGTGGTCCCTTTCTCTACAGGGAGCTGAACCAAAATCCCCAATTCCAACCTCCCTGAATTCTGGAGAAGTTTGGATCTAGCACTGAACTTTGCCACCCACTCTCATGTCTAGGTTTTGACCTTGCATCAGGCAAACTTTGCTGACCTCAACCAAGTTTAAATTTTCAGTTTGAACCCAAAAGTTGAAAAAATAAAAAGTAAGCTATAGCACCCCAAATGACTTACTTTTACATTTGCCACCCCACAATTAACCAAACCTACCAATTTTTGCACTGCTCTGTTCACAAATGCTGTTGAGATCAGTGGGAGAGCAGCGTAAGTGTGGCTCTAATGAGAAATCACACTTGCTCTCATTGAAGGGCAATGCTGGTTTACAATACAGTATTTGCTTTTTGTATTTATACTGGAAAATGGCTTTTCATTTAGCTCATGCCATTTACTGAAACAGACGTAAAAGATGGGAAACTAGTTTTCTGGCAGCTCCAAAGAACGTTACATAGTACAAGGTAAACATCTTGCTCCGTTGTTCATTTGCTAGTGAAGAAATGGTCAGCTGAGTAAGATCCAGAATCAGCAGAAATGGAGGGGAATAATCATTAAACAAACAAATCTGTCAGCGAAGTCAGAAAAACTTCCTCTCTCCATAAACATAATGGGGAGAGGATATTTTCATATCCAATGAAGTGTGCCGTGTAAAATAGACAATTAACCAGATGTGCTCTTCTGGGGGTTTGGAACAGGCACATGCCTGCATTAAACTATTGATCCAGTTCTACTTGTCTACTACATCTATGAATTATAGGTGTAAATGCTACCCAGCCTTGGGCTGTAGAATCTGGCCTGAATATAAAAGATGATGTAAGAGAACAGTCCTGCAAGGTAACAAGAGCCCTCAGGCTAATCAGGATGTAACATTTACAGATGTAATAATAAAGCACATTTTAATTCCAGATTTGCAGAGATTAAAACAAAATCAGTTCTTTGAAAGAAAGAGTCAAAACCAGAAAATGGGTTCTTTTGATCATTCTGTAGAAGTTCTGAAGAAGTTTGAGCCAAGTCTGGTCTCCCTGATCCAGGTTTTGAGCCTTAGTAAAAATAAATAATTTTCCATAGATATTTTAATGATTAATGTTGTCATCTTGTTCTTAGGCTAACATGTTTGTGGAAGGGTTCCATGACGCCATTCTCCTCTATGCTCTGGCTTTGGGTGAGGTCCTGAAATATGGCTTTAGCAAAAAGAATGGGGATAAAATTGTTCTTCATACACGGAATAGGACATATGAAGGTAGGTGTCTGCTAGTTGAATACTGGATTGTATCGGTATTGTTTCAACTCACTTCGACTGTTTGTGCTGTGTAAACAATAGTCAGAATATATGCTCTTCACAAACACATACAGCATTTTTACATCACTGCACATTTTTCATAACATCCCTTTGGGTATTATTCTGCTCAAAGGAATGCCTAATAATTTAATGACCTTCATTAGAGTTAAAAGAAATGCCAATAACTTTCTCAGGCTCCTTTGTTTTTGTAAAGATTAGAGCAGCTTGTCTTACTTCATGTGCATCTACTAGCGCTTGAGCTTGCTTCATTTTTTCCATTTTTCCATTTTTATCTTAACAAGCTGGATTCGATAAAAGCTCACGGGTGCCAATTTTTTCTCTCTCGTTGATGCTGTTTTGAGCATTGGAAGGTTTTTCTTCCCTTCTTTTTAAGAGCTTTGTTTGTTATCCCAGATACAGTATCCAAAGAGGACTCTGACTTTCTGGGCGTAGTCACTTAGGGTATGTCTACACAGCAGGGCTAAAGTTGAATTGAGCTACACAACTTCAGCTACGTCAGTCGTTTAGCTGAAGTCGTAATAGCTTAACTCGGCTTTTGCCGCTGTTTACACAGCAGGAAGTCGCAGGAATAACACTCGTCTTTTGACTTCCCTTACTCCTTGTGAAATTAGGGTTACAGGAATCTGAAGTATAAAATCTTCAAGCTCGAAATTATTTTGGAATAAAGGCTTATAATGTAGATGTGCAATTTCTTATTTCGGAATAATGTCACTTATTCTGAAATAATGCTGCTGTGTAGACTTACCCTCAGGCCTTGTCTCTACTAACTCCTGGTGTCAATCTAATCTATGTGACTTCAGCTGTGCAAATATCATAGCTGAAGTCAATGTACTTATCATGGGCAGTAAGGTCAGCAGAGGCTATTCTCATCCTGGTGGAGCACCATCATGGACAGGAGAACACTCCAAGGGTGTGTCTAGACTACATGCCTCCGTCGATGGAGGCATGTAGATTGGACAGATAGGCAAAGGGAAATGAAGCCGCGATTTAAATAATCGCGGCTTCATTTAAATTTACATGGCTGCCGCGCTGAGCCGACAAACATGAAGTCATTATTAGAGCTAGTCAAAACTTGTAATTTCCATTCCAAGGGATATTCTGAAATTTTCTTTCATCCTGAATTTCCCTTAGCACAAAATTTCTGAAATTTTCATCTGGAAATACTGAAATAACTTAATTGAAGCACTTTGTTTTGACTTTATGTTAGTGTTTAGATAGTTTCAACAACCTTGGGGTACGTCTAAACTACATGGCTCCGTCGACGGAGCCATGTAGTTTAGACGTACCCCAAGGTTGTTGAAACTATCTAAACACTAACATAAAGTCAAAACAAAGTGCTTCAATTAAGTTATTTCAGTATTTCCAGATGAAAATTTCAGAAATTTTGTGCTAAGGGAAATTCAGGATGAAAGAAAATTTCAGAATATCCCTTGGAATGGAAATTACAAGTTTTGACTAGCTCTAATAATGACTTCAGGCCAGATGGTCTTGGCTTCCTGAGCCAGTAAGCTATCTGTTCCAATAAATACTTCCTTTCCGTTCTGGGAGCCAGCCTTGCCATGCCAGACAAGTAGGTAGTGACCTTAAGGTGTTGCTATTGCCATTTGGTTGTGTTCACTCTTTAATCCTTCAGTCTAGCCAGGATAGTAGCACACATTTCTGATTGTTTGGTTACTGTACCTCTGCACCTAAAGGCAACCATCTGGTTGTAAGCAATTTGGTACATACTGAGTAGTAGGGATGTAAAGGAGTAGTCTACTAGTTGACTACCAGATAAGCCTATGCTTATCAGGTAGTCAAGTAGACTACTCCTCACATTCCACCCCCCACTGCTTCTGTATCAGTGGTAAGAGGGGGGAGCAGGAGCCAGTGCTGGGGGGACCCTCTTAAAAGCTGGTTCCCCCAGCAACATCTCCACAGTGCTCCCTGTCTCCCCTCCCCCTGCTGCCACTATCAAAGGTAGCCCCGGTCCACGGTGACCCAGCCATGAGATGGGGCTGCTTTGCCAAATCCCCACTGGGACCCCCTCACACAGGGGCTGCTGCTGCCTGGGCAGGCAGCTGGGCTCAATTCCGGCTCGTGCTGGGTGTGGGACCAAACCCCACTGTGGCTCTGCAATCTCCAGGGGGTAGACTGTCCAGGTCCTACTATGTTTTAAATTACAGAGCCGCAGCTGGGTTTGGTCCACTCCCTACTCAGTAGGCCTACAATTAAATTTGGATTAACCTTTCCTAAAGTCACTCCATTTTAATAGGAAAAAAGCAAAAGTAAACAGAGGCACATTTGCTCATTGAGCATTTGGGAAGGTTTGGTTTGTTTAAGAAAATGTACACTGGTACTGAGTCGCTGAAATCTCTCTCCTGGTTTGTAGTAGCAGCCTGGGAACAGATTCTCCACTGCCATGCACTTTTCATCTCTGTGACATGGGTGTAAAATTGCTGCCATTCTGATGTGCATTCACTTTGCACAGTGCAACAGAGAATCAGGCCCATGGCGTTCATCCCCTGACTGAAGAGCTGCAATAGGACCTTGCTAAACTCTGCTCTTTACCTTTTTCTTCTCTGTTCTCTCCCCCCTCAAAGAATTGGTACTGTAGGGAGGTCGTGTGTTATGATTTCATTGTTTTCACAAACTGCCACACTACATGTACTAGCATAGTGGGATGTATGATGCATACTCATTAAACTACATGAAAGCTGATAAAATAAATGAGCACAATACACTATATGTTGCATTATCCTGCTTTATAACTCAGCTTGTTGACTCCCACCATGATTCTGCCAGCTTTATGCATGGTGGATAATACCTTACTCCACAAGAAGGTCTGCTGATTTCTGTAGGACTATTCAGAATACTTATCAACATGAACAAGAGAGAAAGGGCTAAAATCTGTCAAAGTTGCTTAATTTGGTCATTCACCAACAGTGGGACTGACAGCCACCACGCCAGCACAAGGCATGGAGGCGGGGGACTCGGTGGAACCTTGGGCAGGACAGACAGGGCCAGGGCAGACCACTCTTAGTTCCTCTGGGAGCACAGTGTTTCCCCCCACACCAGTCCATGTGGAGCACCCAGCAGAGCACTCCAGCAGCAATTTAAAGGGACCCGGGGCTCCAGCCACCGCCACTGAATTGCCAGGCCCTGGGGCAACTGCCCCCTATACCCCTCTCTCCATCCTCCCATTGGCAGGTCTGTTCACCAAGGTCAAATCATGACAACCTTGCTCACTTTTTACTCAGTCAGGGAAACCTCCCAGTTTCTGATTCTGCTGTTGCTTATATCACTCTAACTCCACTGAAATGAGTAGAGGCAAATTGATGTATAACTGGAATGGGAGAAGAATCAGGCACACTGACTTTAGTGGAGTTGTTGCCTGAATTAAACCTGAAGCAAATCTCATGAATAGTTTCAGGATTTGGCACACAGTTTCCCAGTCAAGAGTGTGTATTAGCAAAGTTCTGCAGTATTTCTTACAGAAATACTGGATGATGGCTCTCACTGTATACATTCTGAACCAGATCCTCAGGAGTGTAAACTGGAATTGGACGATGGCCTTTAGTAGAGCTACCTCAGTTTACACCAATGGATGACTTAATCCTACATTTCACTGGAGATGAGTCATGGAGGGCAGATGTCATGCTAAAACTTGAGAAGTTGGAGAGTATTTAATGTGTCTTTTTTTCAAAATTTTATACAAAAATATTGAAATATATAGGAACTAGAACCCAATTTCATATACAGAGTTTGTACCGCACCTTGACTTTAAGAAAGGCTGATTACCCAAAACTATGATTTAAGTCAACATGAGCCGTCAAACCCATACAGTATATTCTTGCAGGGGAGGGGCTAGAGTGGTGCATACTTCAGTGCCATTGAATTCTAAGGAAAGGATCTCATTGATTTCAATTAATGTTTAATAGTGTCCTTTATCTCAACTTGCAATAGGAAAAGAAAAAAATGTGGCCCCAATTCTGCAAAGCATGTAAACACACATTTGTTTAAGCTGTCTGTGGGAATCAGTCCACGTGCTTAAATGCTTTACTGAACAGAAGCCTGTCAGATTAGCTTTCCCCCTTCACTCCAGTTTCAAATTTTGCAACCCCAGTGAAGACAATGGAATCTAAGCAAGGGCAGGATTTAGTCCACAGTGAAGCAGCTATATTCATTATTCCCACACTTCATGTCCAGTAAGAAAGCACAGGATCGGCGGCACATGTGCACCACATGTTGGAGTTCCTGACTCTTGCCTTGAACTCTGCTTCACTAGTTCTAAGTTTCACACAAGCACCTTTGTTTTTACTTGGGCTTTGTTGTCTATTTCAGGACAGAGCCCCACTTAAATTAATTTGTGTGAAAAGCATTTTTATTTTTATTCCAGTGCTCTGGGTTTCTGGATTACATTTTTTTCACATATTCCCTAAACAGGCTCATATATTTTATATTTCAAAAGGAGAAATGTTAAGAATTTAGGAATGCAGACACTGAGATGAAATTACAATTTCTTCTGGAATGCCAATAAAAGTCTGTGAGACTGATGAGATTTCCTGCCATGTATCAGTCTGTAAAAATCTGTCCACTCTAATTTTTGTTTTCCTTGGAAGGGTCCAGCATTTTAACTAATTAACTTTCCAATTCCTTACATGCCATTGCCTAGGTATTGCAGGGCAGGTATCCATTGATGCCAATGGAGACCGGTTTGGGGATTTCTCAGTGATTGCAATGACTGACCCAGAAGCAGGCACACAGGAGGTAAGAAAATAAACAAAATTTCAAATGCCTACTTATGAGATGTCCCAACTAGGGTCCAAATTTTGTACCATCAACATCTAGTTATTTAACTATGAATATTAACATGTCGTAACATAATGCTACAAACCCAAAGTACAAATTCTGCTTGTAAAAGTAATCTTAAAGCATAAGACCCTATTGTACAAATCCATTCTCACTCAAAGGATTACTTGTGTGTAAGAGTTTACAGAACTAAAAGCTGTAATCTGTGGTGACCAAACTTACTGATTCTCAGAGACACGAACAATAATCTTCAGAAGTTTGAGAGCTGGACATGCCTGCCAGTACTAGGGGCTTCTGCCCTCTGGTGGTGGGGGGGGGGGGGCACCTGCTGGGTCTAAGGGCTCCATCCCTGTGGGGTGAGGGGGTGCCAGGCTGCAGCAATGTCTCCTTCCCTGCTGGCCAGACGCTCCAAGCCCCACCACCCTGCCGCAGGGCAGAAACCCCAAGCTCCCCACCCCAAGTATGGTAGGCGAGTCACGTTAACTGTAAAAGAGCTGCCTGTGGCTTGCAAGTCATGATGTGGCCATGCCTGATCTGTATCTTAGCTAGTCCTGAGAGAGAGTTTGAAAAAGAGAAGTTGAAGATTAAAATGACTACGTCACCATCTTCAGTGGTAAAGAAGTGTTTTTACCTTAGGGAGGCTAAAACACATGAACTACCCTAAGACACAGACACAATGAAGACAAGACATTTTAACTTTACCATGAGGTAAACTACCTGAGGTCAGTGCTAAACCACTGCCTGTGGCTGATTCACCACAGAGTCCAGCTAGCTAGAGTTTAAAGTACCACTTAACTCAAGCTAGATATTTTTGTAGTGTGCATGGGAGTTAGGTGAAGGGCAACATTCAAGTAATATCTTGAGCTGACAGTGCAGTGCAGACAAGCCCTTAGTAACCCACGTAGTTTCAATGACCTCATTTGAATGGTTCCAATGAGTAAGGCCTAATTATGTGAGTAATGATTTATAGGGCTGGGCTGGGCCACTAATTCATTTCTGTCTATACAACTGATTGAAAATTCTGACTCTAACCTGCATAAGTAGTCATAGCTTTTGGAAGTCAACAGGACTGTGATGGGGGGGAGGAGGGAGTCTAGTCATTAGTCAGCCTGTGATGGACAGGTCTGGTCTGGGCACAGCTGAGGGCATCTGCTCAGGGCATATTGCTCAAACTTGGGGCTCCTTACAGCCCCAGACCTAGGACCTTCCCAAATAGGCCACAAACCAGTCACACCAAGCGCTTCAGCTGCCAATCTGGCCAGGCAGAAGCCTCACAAATAAAACCACTCTAACACCCCAGCTCTTCCTGTGCCCCAATCAGCCCCGGGCCTAACACAGGTGAGGGGTTATAGAACCCAATCTCACCTAACCCAAATGGGTTCTTCCTGTCCCAAGAAACCAGCCACAGTTCCCAGGTGAATTTACACTCTGGATCTTACCCACAAGGTCATGCTGAACCAATTCGTTAGAATCTAAAATTTAAAGGTTTATTACTAAAAGAAAGAAAAGCATGAGAGTAAGGTTGTTAAAGAAAATATATAACATGCATCAAACCACCCAGTTCTCGATACAGGCTCTTAGCAGAGATGTTATACACTGCTATCTTAAAAGTGTATATCCTATGTTAGGATGGGTCCACAGTTCTTTCCGGCTCATTGTTCCCTGCAAGGCTGCATCTGGGATCAGGAGCTAAACTGAAGACAAGATGGAGGGTGCCACATGGCACTTATATCCCTCTCCTGGCATTTTCCTGGCCAGACATGGTCACATGGTCCAACAACCTATCCCTGCGTCCCATGCTGGTAGTCCTTAGGCCCTACCTGGGTTGCAGGTATGAGTCACATTCCTGAATTGTGTATTGGCACCTAGAGCTTCATTGTCTCCTTGCTAATTATCATAGCTATTGGCTGAGCATTCCTTGCCCATTGCTCAGCCACAGACAGAATTTTCCAGCATCCCTACAGAGTACATGTTTATAACTCCATATACAGATATCATACAAGTACATGAATAGCATATGCAGAATCAGTAGAACACAAGCTTTCATGTAACACCTCACATGGCCCCCTTTGCATACACTTTTGAGAAAAACCCCCCCATGGGTGCAGCAATGATCTAGCTGCTCCCCTTAAAATCCATTAATGTGACACCCCCAAAGCAAAATTAATGCAGGAAGTGATGGTAGTAACATCACTGAGGGCATCATAGGCCTCCCCATGTTTTGGCTCTGTGTTAATACATGTTCTAATCCATTATTAGAAACCACAGTACAGAACTGGTTACTAAGGGCTTGTCTGCACTGCACTGTCGGCTCAGGATATTACTTGAATTTTGCCCTTCACCTAACTCTCATGCATACCACAAAAATATCCTCCTCCCTATATCTGGGTAGTTGACCCTCTTAACTGAAGTACTTGACTGGAGGCACTAATCAGGTAGAAATGCAGACATTCAGATTTGTTCTTGCATTTTCTTTTGTGGGTGCATCCATAAATGGGAGGTCTAAAATAATTTATAAATCCCATTATTTAGATAGAAGCAGCCTCATACTTGGCTACGTATAAAGACAACTTGAGTCAGATTCTCTACTGTATTACTCCATCTGTATGTCGATGTAGCTTTGTTGTTCCATTGGCATTACACTGGTGGGCTGTGTCTAGACTGGCCGCTTGAATTTCCGCAAGAACACTGACGATCTCATGTAAGATTGTCAGTGTTCTTGCGGAAATACTATGCTGCTCCCGTTCGGGCAAAAGCCCTCTTGCGCAAATGCTTTTGTGCAAGAGGGCCAGTGTAGACAACACGGTATTGTTTTGCACAAAAAAGCCCCGATGGCGAAAATGGTGATCGGGGATTTCTTGCACGAAAGCGCATCTAGATTGGCACAGACGCTTTTCTGCAAAAAGTGCTTTTGCGAAAAAGCGTCCGTGCCAATCTAGACGCTCTTTTCAGCAAATGCTTTTAACGGAAAAACTTTTCCGTTAAAAGCATTTGCGGAAAATCGTGCCAGTCTAGACGTAGCTAGTAAAACTAGATTGATGCAGTAGTAAACCATATTCTGGGTGTTTTATTTGGATGCAACATAAATCAACCCCTTGGTCATGTAATATTAATGCAAGAAACAAACTTACATACTGCCTCAAATTTTAAGGAAGTTCAGAATACTAATTTAGATTTACAAATTTTATATTTGAGTCCAAAATCCTGAACAGAAAACAGAAATGCATGTAAACATCTCAGAACCTTACAGATTGTAACCCAAATTTTGGCAAAGCTCTCCTGCTTTTAAGTTTCTTTACAACTCAAAACCCTTGGTCCTGATTTACTTAGGTTCATGCTTGGGATGGTCTCCAGGCAAGAAAGTAGGGATCTGAGTCCAGATTTCAAATGCAAAGAAGTTTGTGGGAGACCAGATTAAATGTTTTTTGTTAGGAGTGTAACATCTCTGGCTCAGTCCTCCAGCCTGATCACAGTCAAATTGAATCCCATCTAGGGTGTCAAGAGAATCCAAACAAGGGCCTTCAGTCCTAGCTCAGGCACTTTAAAGTCAGGTTCCCAAACAAGTCTTGTCCCCTTTTTAGAGTTTACACCACTTTACCAGTGGCTGATACGGGAGCCTGGGCTTGCCTACAACTCCAGGGTCTAGCTCCAGGCCCTAAAGGCAGCAGCCACGTAATGCTCACTGTATTCATTGCTGCAGTTTCCCTAAACCTCTTCTCATCTGGCCTCTTCACTCCCCTTATCTTAGGGTGAAAGTTCTCAGTTCCTCTCTCTTTCTCTTAGCCTAACCTGTTGCAGTCAGAACCAAACTAAGGGTTGTCCCTCAAGCTCCTTTGTGCATAGAGGAGCACCTTTCCTCATTCCTGCGTCCCGGTACTGACCTGGTCATTACCCTGCAGCTCCTTTTTATGTAAGCCTCTTGGGCTCTGATTGGCTGCTTCTGTGCACGTCTAGCGCAGTGTTTCTCAAACACGAGGCAGTTGGAGGTATGCCGCAAAGCACAACAGAGTTCAAAATGGCCACCTTTACGTTTTTCTCAATAACTTTCCCCCCCAACCCCCTTTTTTTTTTATCCTTGGTGAAAGAAATTATTGTTTGGTGTTCCTTGATCTTAAAAAGTTTAAGAAACACTGCTCAAGAGAGCCCACCTTTACTGCTCCTTCTCTGTGGTGAGGTGTTTGTAGGATTGTAGAGCCTCCAGCAGTAGGCTACCAAAGGCTTAGTACACCTTGTCACAGGAGCCATCTAAAAAACTATCACAAATTTTTAAGCAAGCTGACTCAAAATTTTCTCTGAGACTTGACCATTTATTGTTCGGAGCAGAAAGCTGATGAAATTGACTATGGCTTGTGTTCCGTTTTCCTCTGAATTTTGAGTTAATTCAAACTTAAAGCTGAGAGGTACAAAGCTGTATGAACCAGTATAATGATAGCATTTGCATAGACCCTCGCAAACCAAAATGCTGTAGCTCTAACTGCACGTTTTATCCAACATAGTATGAATACAAATACGAGCTTCCAACTCTGTGCAGAGAATTGCCACGATTTATAAACAGCAGTGACTAAAGTGGAGCAGGATATGGAAAGCCTTAGATTTATAATCTAGAGTTTTTACTGTGGTCATAAGCACTGCTAATTAATAATCTCATCACTGGGATTCTGATAAGGCAACTCATTGAAATTCTGTGGATAATCAGTGTATGCTCCAAGCACATGCAGCTCTTCAGTTTCTCTCTTTTTTCTGGAAATAAATTCATTAGAAAAGCCTTGTCATTTCTTATTTTTACACAGGTGATTGGGGACTATTATGGAAAGCAAGGGCGTTTTGAAATTCGATCAAACGTGAAGTATCTTTGGGGTCCTGGCAAGCTGAGAATAGATGAAAACAGAGTTCTAGAGCACACAAACAATACACCTTGTAAATCATGTAAGTTTAGTGACGTAATGTTTCCTTCCAAGCTGTAAGACAGAGGATGCAGCATATGCTGTGTTACAGTGTTCCTTGTTTACACACACGAATCTTAATGGAAACACAGTCAAGGTTGCTGGGCCTGAACATGCCAACAGTTCCTTGACAGCTGTGCTGTAGTGAAACAGTTCCCTTTAACACGGCAGGCTCATATCTTTATTCCCAGACATTGCATGCTGCTGCTGGGAACAAAAAGCTCAAGCCGATATGCAACTTCTTGTTGGGCTCCCAGCCATTATTTTACAGATACTGAATGTGGGCAGAGGGGACCTAACACAGAGGGACCTGAGGCAGCATATTCAGAAGCAGGGAAACAGTTGTTTTACTCCATGTTGGCCCTAATCCCATGGAAGTCCCCTTCCAGGAGAATCAAAAGGTAGCGCTCTGCAAGCCAGAAGGGAGCAAACACAGTGAGTAGCTGGAATGTGTAGGCTTGTACCTCACGACAAGGAGTTATCTTATCACACACCTTTGACAGACGCTGGTCAGAACAGCATCAGGACAGTATGAATTTCCCAGGGAAAATTGGGGTTACTATGAACAAGCACAGCAGGGAAGGCAAAAGCAGCCTGGGTCCAGAGCCAGCACAGGCACTGGGGGAAAGGTTGCTGGCAGGTGGCGTGGAAAGGCAATCTCTACTCTACGGTTGTGGCTGGAGGATCATGGAGTTTCAGGTGGTGCCCTTCAAGGAGGCTCAGTCTGAGCAGCCCCACCTCTTTCCAGTTCACTGAGTTCACAGACTGCGCCTCCCAGAGGAGACAATGGGGAAGGGTGACAGGGAAAAGGTGCTTGCAGTATTTCTGGGGCAGGTTTCCCTCTGCTGTGGACATTTCCAATGAGCCCCCTTGTTATAAGGAGGGTGTTGCAGGAAATGAATCGCTAGCTCTGGAGTCAGGAACTACCCCAGCGTGGCAATTTTCCTTTCCATTAAGGTTTAGCTGTACTCCATACTTTTCTGTATACATCCATTCTAGCCCAGACAGTCCCTGCATAGCCTGGAGGGAGACAGTGCATTTGTGCTCCCTTGTTATCTCCAAGCATCCCTGAGGTGAGGGGCAGCAACACCCTTCAAAGGGTCAAGGAAAAGCAAAAAGGAGACAGGGCCATGGCTTGCCCATCCCTCCGCACCAGCCCATGGAGTGGACCAAGTGTGACAAGAGAAGCCAGCTATGCTATCCCTAAGCTATGCAGCTACCATGTTGCCCTTCTGCTTCCTGGAGGGGCTTTCCTCCCTGAACTCCCTTGGGTCATTGCATCTCTGCCCTGCCCCCTACCCAACTCTGTGGCAAAGTGCTGGATTCTCTCCATTCAGCTGAATATTGATTTATAATTATGGTCACATAGTCATTTATTTACTGTAACATCATCTGCAAAACTTTCAGCACAGAACTAAAATCACATGATTTTAACTTGAAACTCAGCCTGGTTATTCAATAGGTTTGCTAACACTTATGAAGTGGAGATGAGCCCAGCCTTAGGTTAGTCTGGGTTTTGATGCTAACACAGGTGAAATATGTTTATTACTGCAAGAGTAGCTGCAGCAGACATTAAACCAAGACTCCTGCCATGTGATCTTTTGTAAGCCTAGCCTCTGTTTTGTGGGTAGGCCATACACACTTGTTTCTTACCAGCATGCCTCTGTATCACACTTTTATTACAATGGTGACAGAGTGTTACTTTGGGAGGCGGGTGAACCCAGCACTCAGAGTAAAAAAAGGCACATGAGTTTGAACCAAAGGAGAGATTCTGCCCCAAATCCCTCAGAAGTGGGTTCTGAACAGTGCTAGTTATTTTCTTGTGCTGGTCATTCCTTTTAACATGTATTTTCCAGTTCTGGTATGAATGCTGATCATTTATTTCTGTTTGCTTTTTCAAGCAGGTGGCCTAGGAGAATCAGCTGTTACGGGGATTGTAGTTGGTGCTCTACTTGGAGCAGGATTACTAATGGCTTTCTACTTTTTCAGGTTAGTCCCAGTTACTAAAAGTTCCTTTGCTACCTACAGAGCCCAAATCTCTCTACTCCTGGCAAACCTGGCTCTGGTATGAGGAGAGGAGACGGACAAGTGCTAAAATAAGGGACTACTTCACAGTAGTAAGACTTCCACAGAAGCCAGTTCATTCATTTTCACTATTTCTATAGCTGTTTTGTATGCTCAAATCAGCTTTATTTCCTTAGGCCCTGATCCTCCAATCCCTTATGCTTGTAAGTAATTTTATTCATGTCAGTGAATTCATGGCTAATTCAGTAACACTCATAGGCGTGAAATGCTTTCCGACTGCAATTTTCTAGCATTGTGTATTTGTTGATCATGCAGTGGACCAGCACCAGCTGCCTAGAAGAGTTAAGAAATGTATTTAATTAATTGCTGAAAAAATGATACTGGTAACCCAGGAGATATTTCAAAGGACTGCTTTAGCATGATTGACCAAAGGGAGTTATTGAGTTTCACTGGGTTCCAAAAGACAGAACCAAAGGCTCTATTGCTGGGCTGTCTATTTTTTAAATTTTATACTGTCAAACAACAAACAGAGGAGGAGGAGGATTTTATGGAGGGCTTGGGTCAGGACAAGTGGGAGTCACTTCCACCCTTTCTGCCTGCTGTCATGTCTTGTCCCTCCAGTACTCCTCCCAGAGAAAGGGGGTTAGGGTATGAGGAGGTCTTTATTTTCTTATGCTTGGAAGAGAATAAGTAAGGATACGTCTACACAGCAAAGTTATTTTGAAATAACAGCCGTTATTCCAGAGGACTAGTAAAGGGAAAATATAGTACCAATCTATAAAAAGGGAAAGAAGAACAACCTGGGAAATTACAGATAAGTTAACTTAATTGCAACCCCAGGAAACATAAAGGAGCAAATAAGTAATCAACATCTATAAGATAAGGTGATAAGTTATAAACAACATGGATTGGTCAAGAACAAATTGTGTCTGACCAACCTAACAGCTTCCTTTGACCAGGTAACAAGACTTGTGGATAAGGGAAAAGTGGTAGCTGTAGTATATCTTCATTCTAGGAAGGCTAGACCTCCCGACAAACAACTTGGGAAATACAACTAGAGGGAGCTACTATAATTTGGGTGGATAACTGGTTGCAAAACTATTCCCAGAGAGTTGTTTTCTATGGCTATACCTTGATGTGAGAATGATGATAGGTCAAGGGGGCTCATTGGTGAGCCTGTAAGTGGCTTAGGTGTCCAAATCGTGCCTTGTGTTTTTTCCCCACAGAAGTGACAGGTGTAGTCTTGGAGAAGACGTACTGGTTGGTTGAACTGTTGTGCCCTTTCTTTCCTCCTTTGTCACTTCCCTCAGTCAAACTGGAAGGGCATATCTAGCGGGGTACACAGGGACCAGAGCTTGGGCTGGTTCTGTTCAGTATCTTCATCCATGGTTTAGAGAGTACACTTACAAAGTCAGCACACAATACCAAGCTGGGAGACTTGTAAGTGCTTTGGAGAATGGGATTAAAATTCAAAGTGATCTGGAGAAACTGGGGATGGGATCTGACATAAAGAGGATGAAATTCAATAAAGACAAATGCAAAGTATTCCACTTAGGAAGGAACAATCAGTTGCACACATATGAAATGGGAAATGACTGCCCAGGAAGGAGCCTATGGAAAGAAATCTAGGGGTCATATTGGATCACAAGTTAAATAAGAGTCAGTTGTGTGCTACTGTTGGAAAAAAAGTCTAACATCATTTTGGGATGTATTAACAGGAATTTTGTAAAGAAGACATGAAAAGTAATTCTTACACTCTACTCCTTGCGGATTAGGCCTCAGCCAGATACTGTGTCCAGTTCTGGGTGACACATTCCAGGAAAGATATGGACAAATTGGAGAAAGTCCAGAGGAGAACAACAAAAATTATTTAAGATCTAGAAAACATGACCTAAGAGGGAAGATTGAAAAAAAATGGGTTTGTTTAGTCTGAAGAGAAGACAGAGGGGGACATGATAACAGTTTTCCAATACATAAAAGTTTGTTACAGGGAGAAGGGACATAATCTGTTCTCCTAATCTCTGAGGATGGGACAAGAAGCAAAAGGCATAAGTTGCAGCAAGGTTGGTTTAGGTTGGACATTTCTTGTCAGGGTAATTAAGCACTGGAATAAATTGACTAGGGAAGGAATGGAAGCGCCATCTTTGGCGGTTTTTAAGAGCAGTTTAGAAAAATACCTGTCAAGGATGGTCTAGATCAGGAGTTTTCAAACTTGGGGTTGTGGCTTGTAAGGGTAGGCTGCTAGCTGGCTGAAAGATGCTTTGTTTAAACATGACCGCCCAGCCTGCACCACATCCCGTAGCTCCCATTGGCCAGCAGCTCAGTGGTGCAGTAGTTATGCTAATGTGGATGCAAATATAGCTACACAACTACCTGATCATTTTCTTACACTGCACTTCGTTGCAAATCTGAACCTCAGTCCCTCTGATATGTTGTCATGACAGGAATTAAGCTGAGCTGCCAGGGTTACATTTCCAAAAATGTCCTGGTTTTGTGCCTGAGCAACTGACATCCATGCTGTTATTTGCACATAAAATATACATCCAATAAGTACCAGATTTTTAAAGGTATTTAGACACCTGAAGATTCAGATTGATGGCTAGTGGGATTTTCAAAAGAAAGTAGGTCGCTAAGTCCCATTGATTTCAATAGGAGTTAGGCACTTACTAGCATTTGCTAAAGCATCTTCTCAGGTTAGGTGCCTATCTGCATCTTCAGAAGCCTAACTTCAAAACTGCTAGACCTAAATCCCACTTGTTCATGGAAACTGAATGCAAATTTCCCTTGTAGGTGACCATTCTGTGATCAGTGAGCAAAAGCAGTATGGTAAAAAACTGCATGCACAAAGGGGACTGGTTTGAAGCCCCTTTCAATAATCAGCCCTGAAGCCCGTTGACTTCATAGGTGTAATGTTAAAAATATTCATAGCATTTCTAAAATTTCAATGCAAGGAGACTTATCTGGCATAGTTCCCATGACACTCTACAAAAATGTCCTAATCGTTTAATCCACAAATTGTCCAAGATGAAAATGTTTGTCTCAGTCCTTTGAGAATGCCTGTTAACTTTTACACAGAATTCTAGGGCTAGGGCAAAATGCTGCAAGGCAAACTACTTTAATCTTTTACCAGGGTTTTACAGTCTGTTACTTCTCCTTTCTCAACAGAAACCCAGTTGTTTCCTATAGGCATTTTTTGAAAGAGACATCCTATTATCTTGTTATTGAGGGAGGATTTCTTACTCTGTTCCTCTCCTTTCATGCAGAAAGAAATACAGAATAACTATTGAGAGACGAAATCAACAGGAAGAATGTAATATGGGCAAGCATCGGCAGTTACGTGAAGACTCCATTAGATCTCATTTTTCTGCTGCATAAAAAAGAAAAAAAATTCCATTATTTCCGAGAAAAAAAACTTTAGGGAAACGGACAAAACCAAAGACATTAGTGTAAAAGAAGAGGCTCTTGAAGAACTCATTCTTTAAGCAGTAGAGTAATTTTGTCTTAATTTCTTTCAGAAACTCAGGAATGATTTGCTGATCACATTATGCCATATGGCCTTTCATCTTGTGGGGGGGAAAAAGACAGTTTCACATTGTAGGACATTCTTAGTGTTTTGTGAAGGTATTTTCTAAGACATTTTTTGAGGACAGCAGTTTTGTGCTTAGGGCTGGGGATGCTTCTTCCTGACCCCTTCTTTTAAACTTCTAGTGCCTCCTTCCTTAGCTACATCATAAGCAAGGATATCAAAATATCCTTTTTTAAGTGCTGCTTTGCCATTAAAATAAAAAATGTCTTTATTGTGGGTGTGGTCCTGCATTGCTGAAACCAATGGACCACTTTGCCATGGATCTCAGTGGGTGCACGATTAGAACCCTAGAGTTTAATCTCAGGAGGGAGTTGGCACTCATAATGTAAATAACCATTGAGAAAGTGAAGAGAGTGGAAACACTCAAAGTCATTTTTTCATTGTACGTACAGTATCAAAATCAATACAGGAAATACAGAGACTGCATCTCTTCTCACTTATATGGGTGTAAATCAAGATTAGCTCCATTGTAATCAGTGGAGGTTAACTAGTATGAAACATAAGCAAGGGGAGGTCAGAAGAGCTCTAGAGTGGAATGGATTTTTCTTCAGCCTTATATATGCTTTTATATTATAACAAAACATCCCAGGAGAATCGTCATCCTTTTCTCTCTCCCCACATCATCGCCTCTTAGAAAGGCTAGTGTACAGTACCTAAAGGACCGGCTTCTGCTCTCATTGAAGTCAATGGCAGAAGTCCCCCTGATTTCAGTGAGAGCAAGGTATGACCCTAGACTCTGTAAATATTAATGATATGAGTGTTTGTACAGTAACGGTAATTCAAAAGATTGTTTTGTATAAAAATGACATTCCATGCTAACATTTTATTTGTAGGTATTTTTATCTGGTATTTTTCTATTAGAAAGTGTCTATTTTTGCTTTGGTAAGATTAAAAGTCAAGGTGAGACGGTTTGAAGAAATATTTTTACAAGAGTGAATAATGTGCACAGGAAGTCATCGATGTAAATAAAAGTTATTTTGGTTTATGAATATTAACTAGATTTTTCTCCCTCATGCCTGCCTTCTTTCCCAATATGTGCAGAATGCAAATAATTAATTAGCTAAAGTAAAATACAATTGATAATTTAATTGTAAAGTTGCCAAAAATTAGTTATTTTGCCAATTTATTCCCAAATCCTGTCAATACTTAACTTTACACACATTCAAGTCAATAAGACTGGCGGTTTACATGGGTGAAGTAAAGCATCTTCAGGATTAGGGTTTTAAGATGCTGCTGTGAGATCTGATCCAGATCCTGCTGTCATTGATATCTCTGGTAATTATATAATTAATTTTAACAGTGACTTCAGTTGGACCAGGACTAGGGCACTTTCAAAAAAAGGCGTTATTCCCCATAAAATGAGGTTTTCCATGATAAAAAAAACTGCCACATTCTTTTGATTTACTTTCGAAAGAACGTGGCAGCAGGCTAGACGCAGGGGAAATTTTTTTGAAAAAAGGTTACTTTTTTCGAAAAAACCCTGTAGGCTAGACACACCCTTGTATGTATATGAACAATGATGTTAGCTTAATTTATGTGTTAATTACTAATAAATGAACTCCATAAAGTAGGATAGTAAAAGAACTCCAAAAGAGTGGGCTAATACAGTATTAGCTTCTTTTTTTAAAAAAAAACTGGTACATTACTTATGTTATATTTCTCAGGAACACAGTAAATTGATAACTTGACCTTTGATAGCAAATGACAAAGTATTTTGGCAGCATTCTGGCATTATGGTTGTTTCACAGCAGAGTTTTAGCAATGGGAATAAGTACATAATTTTTTGGGGAGGAGGTAGCAGTTAAAGATAGTGGGGAAAGATCTGCCCTCAGATATGTGTCTAACTCCCATTGTCTATCTGGATATCTGAAGGCAGAGTTTATAACTAACTACAGGAGCTTTTGTTTAAATTAACCATTTCACATGAGAAAATTGAAATATTTGCACTTTGCACATCTCTGCTTATAGAAATATTAGGCAGAAAGGAGTTTAAATGGTATGTGGTCTTTATATTTTTAGACCACATATATCTTTAAAATAGGCAATGAGAATGATCTTGTCGACCATATACAGGTCAAATTTCTGTTGAAGTCAATGGAAATATTTCCCATGAAAGATTTCAGGACTGGACCATTTGAAGGGCTTAACAAGTAGTGTGATTGGCTATGGTGATGTTCTCTCTTGGGAATCACAAGAAACTTATGCACTTCTTTTTGTCCTTGATTCAGTCTTATATATAGCATATTTAAAAGTTTCAGAGGGGTAGCTGTGTTAGTCTATAACTTAAAAAAAACCCAAATGAGTAGTCCTTTAGCACCATAGAGATTAAGATTTTGCCCAAGAAAGCTCATGACACTATATATTTGTTAGTCTCCAAGGTGCTATAGGACTACTTGTTTTTGTTTTTTTTAAATCTAGCATACATGTGAAATAGACACCATCCTTTTATATTTTACCCATCTGAGTTAAAGGGAAGGTTCTGGTATACTACAAGGATATTGATGGTTTTTCACCAGGAAAATAATACTGCCATGACTAGGAGACTTTCTTGGATTAGTGTTTAATTATAAATAACTGCATAGATTTTTTAAAAACCTAGAATTGCTTCTTTCAGAATGCACATTTCAAAATGCCTCTGACTGGTGTATACCACATTTAGACCCTAGAAAAGTGACTTTTAAGAGGTGCTGGACTAGAGTTCATTCAACAATTCTCATTAACCACTAATGTTAATATTCTGCATCGATGGCAAAATACTCTGAAGAATCTGACACTGTTGAAATTTCTATGTTAAGCTACAACCCATCAAATACCATGCATGGATTCATTAGGTGCTGAAACTTCAGAAGGTTAAAGATTCTGACTGTGTGTAAATGGTCGTTAGTGTTTTTGTTGTGTGAATGTTCCTATTAGACACTTGAGCAAGCAGAGGAAATGTACCTATTAGGGCATTTTAAAATATCTTGTTTTAATTGTTATTTTCTTAATCTAAGCTGATATGCACAAGGAATAACTGCACAATTCTCACACACCAAAGTCTGTGACCACAGGTTTTACAAACATTAGGCCAGATAATCAGCTGACATTTATTGGCACAGTTACATTGACTTCAGTAAACTTACACTGATATGTACCAGCCGAGGATCTGGTTAATTTCTTTGACACCTTATTCCCTATGAACCACTTGCATGGGTGTTTTTCCACATTGTTATAGGAGGCACCATTAAAAGCAAATGTGACAGTTACCACAGAGTAGTACACAAGATCATTAAAGCTTTTTTTTAAAATTTAGTACATACTTGGGATGAGTGTTGGGTAATGATTGGCAAGTGTTAATGGCTTCTAATGTAGTAAAAGCTTCCAGGTGGAAAGGTGTGTTGGGAAGAAAGAGTAAATGAATACCTGCACATTGAGTTTAGGGAAAAAGGAGAAAGATACTCAGGGACTGATTGTACTCCCATTGATGTGCTACTGACTTCAATGCGAGCAGGATCAAGCTCTTGCTTTCTACGCAGGATGTGGGCAATATTATTTTATACTTAAACTCAGAGGTCCAGCCCAAGGCCTTTTCACCAATTAAATTCCACTTAAGACCTTAAAAATATGGCTTCAATTAAATTTAGGCGACCCATAGGATTTGGGCTGACCCTCTACTAGTGGTGAATCTTGCCACTTAAGTGAAGTGCTTACTTAAATAAGAGTGTTTGGGGCCCATCTAAAAGTATAGAAAGCTGAATACTGAGAGGAAGGTGATGGGATGAATTTGCTGTGTTCCTTGTGCCTAGTATGCAATTATCACAAAACCAAGAGGACTCAGGATAGAGACTGTGGTAGTTATCTTTGTCCCCTTTTTTGGGGTGATACTATTCATTATCAATGTAAAAATACTGGACAACACAGAAATGTAGTATCAGTCTAGTAGAAAATAAATGGAAAGCTGCACAGTATATTGTACTGATGTAAGTAGAACTATATGCATATAATGTGATTTTATTTATTGTTTTTTGTAAAGGAGAACGTGTATTCATGACTGTGGATATAACCTCTGTTTTATTTGTGTAATGTATTTCTTTCTTTTACAAGTTGGCCATTTAAAATATCTACATTCATCAATGCCCACTGATTTTAATTATGTACATTTTCTTGTAAACATGTCAAGGAGGCAAGAATGTCACATATCCAAATTATAACAAAATGTTCCCATTAAAGAAATAGAAATGTGATAGTGCACGTTTTCCTTCTCTGTTCTCTAAACCTGTTGATTTTATTCTTAGTCTCTAAAGTTGGAGCCATCAGAGTGTAGTGTGAATGATAAAAAGAGTCTTCTGGTTTTAACATGTCGAATGAAACTTTAATTATAATAATGACTAGGAGATATCAAAGGTGAAGTATTAAATAAATTCAGTAATTCATTTTAATTGCTTCAGGAGAAAGATAACTGTTTCAAAGTCCAAAAAAGTCTTTGATAAACACATAAAATAAATTTAAAATATTGGATACATTTCTTGGATTCTCCAATGAGATATAAAATACAGACTCAATTATTTAAATCAATTGGCTATTAGACCTCTTACATGAAAAATTTTGCAGTCAGGCAAAACTTGCATTGAAGATTTTTTTCCCCCAAGAATGCACTCCAGGATATGTATCAAATCTCTGACACTGGGACAGAGTAATTCAGTCACTATTTCTGGGACTTCAAAATACTGTTATCAGGACATCCTGTCACACCTTCTTAACAACATACACAGTGGTGTGGAAACATTTTGGCTACATCTAGACTACATCCCTTGCTCGTAAAAGGGATGTAAATTAGACGTATCGCAATTGCTAATGAAGTGGGGATTTAAATCTCCCCCGCTCCATTAGCATAAAAATGGCTGCCGCTTTTTTTCGGCATGGAGCTTTGTCGGAGAAAAGCGTCAGTCTAGACACTGATCTTTCGAAAAATAAAGCCTTTTCCAAAAGATTCCTTATCCCTCATGAAATAAGGGATAAGGGATCTTTCGGAAAAGGCTTTATTTTTCGAAAGATCAGTGTCTAGACTGATCCCCGCTTCATTAGCAATTGCGATACGTCTAATTTACATCCCTTGTCCGAAAAAGGGGATGTAGTCTAGACGTAGCCACCCAGATTTTTTAAACCTGTCCGTGGTTTCTAACCCTTTTATCATTTTTGTTATCTTTCCAATTTATTTACGTCTTTCTTAATGTGACACCCAAAATTGTACATAGTACTCCAGCTTAGTCTACTCAGTGCCAAGTGGAGTAGAACACTCCAAAATATTAGCCTTTTTTGTAACTTTATCACATTGTTGACTCATTCAATATGTGATCCACTGTAGTATGTTATCATGTGGATTATTTTCATCTACTCTTACTAGGAAGATAAAATAAACCTGATTTGGGTATTCTGAATTTTCCCAGATGTTGCTGCCTTCTCTCTGAACTCTGTTCTTCCACCCTTGAGGGAAAATGAAAAGCTACACTGTAATCTTGCAGCCTTCAACTATGCCTGGGCCACCATTGACGATTTGACCTTAAATAATATGTACTGTCAAGAATATGCTGTTAAACGATCATGTCCAGCTAGAACATAGTGTACCTAACATAACAACCATACACTATCAACAAGACAATGGAAAGAGGAGGCAAAGACATCTTCACATACCTCAAGAGCCACTGAAATCAAATGAAATCTTTCATTGAAAATATGCTGTATATTTATTTTATTATCTTTAGCACTGAACAACCAGCCAAAAAAGGTACATGGCAGTCAAAAACTGTAAAAGCACTTACTGTGCTGTGTTTTTACAGTTCCCTCTCTGTAAATGCAAAAAGTGCTGCACAAAACATTAACCTACACAATGGTCAGCGCCGCCCCAGAGAATTTTGTAACATTCCTATAGAATGCCAGCTCAGTTATCCTTACATGGGGCTAAAGATTTGCATGATCATACTGGGATGTCGAATGTTAAAAGATTCTGTGTTCAGCTAAGAGGAGAGGAGGGAGCAGAGTTGAGGTAGAGGTTGTGGCAGGCTTGTTCATGTGTGTGGGGATGCTTTTGTTTCTGTGCATTTCAAAGGTTGTAACCCTAGGTCTCTGGCAGTAGGACATTTCCCAATATGTCCTTCATCCAGATGGAGAAAATAGTGTATTGTCTGGCCAGAGAATCCATTCAAAGGAAGAGAATAGGAGCAAAGCATCCCAAATCTACAACTTTCATAGTACCATAGCTTCATTCTGAATTGAATTATTTCAGTTTTCTATTGAAATATTTCTCTGAAAAGTCAACATTTTCTTTAGGAAAAAAAGCCTTATTTTTCTGACCAATTCTATTTTTAACCATGCAACTCTAACAGTGTAATTAAGAGAACCTAGTTGTAGGATACAGTTCTGCCTTCAAAACACAGGCACTGAAGAAGCAGAAAACCCCCCTGGAAATTTTACTTCCCTGGTAAACTCAAAGGAGAATATTTTATAACCTAAGGGCCCAGTTCTGCTTACTTTCTGATGAGTAGTAATTTACTCTACAAGGAGATTATTTGCATAACATGGTCCTCATGCAAAGCCCATGAAAGTTAATGGAAGATTTCATTTGTGGTCAGTAGCTTTTTGATCAAGCCCTATGTTATTTCTTAGTGTGAAGAATAGGAACAAATTCAGGCCCTGTTTTTAAACTGTACTATGCTCTGACAGGAAATCGTATCAGCTCATCTGAGAGTATTGCACAATAAAAATTCTGAATGGTATTATAGACTGGAATAATTACTGTTCTTTGCTTTAGTGCCAAAGAAAGGATAAAATGAGAGAAATAAATATTTTTGCAAAATACTTTCCAAACAATGAACATTAAATCATTTTTTCAGGAATGTGCATAGTTAAAGGGACACAAAAGAAAGCTGTACAAATTTTCTAATTTCAGAATAACTCCATTTAATTTTTACATTCCCACTGTATTCTACAAACTCTCTCTTCCTAAAGCAAATAACTGTTAATATGTATTTAAGTCTACACTCATGTGTGATTTAACACGGGATAAAAACATCCAGGTAGAATCAAAGGTATCTTTGTTATGGGAAGATGTCAGTTCCCAAATGTTCACTGTACTATGCAGATGTGTGTACCTAGGACAGGTTTAAAGCTCAAAATCCATCTCTGCTGGGATTTACAGCAACTTATAAATCCATGAGGAATTTTTCAGCAAAGTTTCATATCTTATTCACTTATGAGAGCAGATTTGTTTTAATGTTCTTTAAAAGGGGATGTTTTAAACTACTGCCTGTTTTTCACCATTTAAATTGTAGTTTCCTACATTTAGAGTGATATTTTAGCTACTTTGTTAGATTAGAAAGGTTCATTCAGGTCTCTGTGAGGAACTCCCATGACTTTTGTGTTCTTCTGACATGAAAAACTAGAGACACAGAAACCATTGTATTCACTTCAGGTTCTCCCTGAGATTTGTTGCTGAACTTAGTTTTCACCCTCTAGACAGACACTTGTGTCAGCACTTTAAGTGACTGAGATAAAGATCTTGAATCCTTAGTTATCACTTATCTGATTTCCACATTAAAGTACTCCTGAACATCTAAAAACATTCCCAGTTTTCTGAAAACAATACTGGTTTTATTTAATTGGAAATTGCATAGGAATCCACAATGCAATAAAATAAACAATTTTTAGCTCAATATATAATTTCAGATTTTGTCACATGTGAGTAGGGTTGCCAGATGGTTTCAACAAAAATACCGGACACACTTGACATTACATTACAATCTACATTACATCTTACTTAGAAAATACCGGACATTTATATTTTCTCATTTATATTTTCTCGATTTGTTTCCCGAACAGAAAGCTCAAATACTGGACTGTCCGGTTCAAAACCGGCCACCTGGCAACCCTACATGTCAGAACAAACAGTAAACCTTTGGTGATTTCAGAGCCTCTGTAGCCCAATGGACTACTTGGGGTTAGATACCTATGTAAGCATCTTTAATCCCGCTCCCACCTCATGTTCCAATTCTGCTATTAGGGCCTTTTCTTTTACCTCCTTAGTAATCTTCTCTTTCTGTTATTAAAATCACAGACAATGCTTTGTCAAAACATCTTCCACTTTCCGAATACCAGAAACATACTGAACATGATTTCATCCTTCATACCAAGCTTTCCCCCCAACATCCTTCTGAAATGTCCAAGAATGTGGTAGATGTAGTTACAGTGAGGAGGTAAATGATATAGCTAGACCCAGTTTTGCAGAAACTGTGCTTGTCATGAGAAAGCAGCCAACACCCCGCCTGGCAATCCCAGACTATGAAATGGCCCCAGGGCTGTGACAGCTGAGAATGATTTGGAATAAGTATGAGGTGCTCTAAATTACCCTAGGGCTGCAGATGATATCTTTCCAATCAACCTCAGGATTAGGGAAGATTAAGATGTCCTAATAACATGATTGCACTCATCTCTAGTACCCCTGAAAAAGTGGTCCAATGGGACTAAGCATGAAATTTAGGCTTTTCAGGATTGAGCCCTGAATAACTCAGATAGTATTTTGCTAAATTAGGCTTCGGATAAACTATTTAGCTGTTGTCACTTCACCATTTTAAAGGGATTTATACCACTTCTTGGCCATGGTGCACAAATGTGTGCAGAACAGATGGTGTGATGACATTGTTTTATCAATACATAATCTGATGCTGGGCAATTTGTGACCAGCAACCAAAATTCCAGTAAGTTATATTGTTTCCCCCGCTTTGTAATAATTGATTACAAATTAATCAAAAATATGTTAACCATCTCCTAATATTAGTTTGAGTTAACTGCTTCCTGAATGTATGAAAAAAAGTGACAAATGTTTACAAGCAGTTATTCCTTAAGGCTTAGGAAACTATCTCCATGCAGCATTTTGAATTATAAATTTGTTTGTGAGAGGACTTTGCAAGATGCTGTTGACAGACTAGGAAATACCCCGAGCTCACTATGAAATAAACATGTTAAAGAATGAAAAAGGCAGAAGCTCTTTGAAAAAAAAAACCCACAAGTATATTGCATCATCCTGATCTATACTGCAAGGAGGGAAATATATCCAAATATGTTTTCCCATAGGGCTCGAGAGAACACAAACATGAACTCATGAAACCCAGATGTAGTTAAACCACACAGAAGCCAGAGTATGTTGTCATTGTGATAAATGATTTCCTATCATTCTCAGTTAGTCTCAAGG